TCTATCGAATAATGTTACTTCAATTATTGCAGTTTGTCAAAAAATTCTGACGATTGACCACGATGGTTGAACCACTCTGTACATGCAACGTAATATTCATTGGCCAAAAAAATCGACTTGTCCAGTTGAACTTTCCCCTCGAGCTGTAGTGTCGGACAAATGTACAACAAAACGTGTGCATAACAAAATCAAAGGCCATCTTGAATCAAAGAAATTCACCCTCTACTTTCTCTCTCTCTCTCTCTCTCTCTCTCTCTGAATGAAGAAAAGAAATTCGAATACTACGAATAAATCGTGTGTTACTACATTCATTCATGTTTCAGGGGGACACGAACCTGTAGTGGAAACGGGTTCTTGTATGGCTTGCAACCTTGCTCCGCTTTGATTCCTCGTTGGCCTCCCTCTTTTATTCGATGCGTCAGAGACCGTTTCAATGATTCATCCACCTGAAGCTCGAACTTCGTTTGGAAAGGGCGAGTCGACACGCGGCTCCGCGTACCATTTCTCTATCGACGATTATTCAACGATGGTTTTGTATACTCGGACGTTAGATAATTTTGTTCGCAAACGATCTTTGTCATTTACGCGCGTACGTGTATGCGTACGTGAGGATATATATATATATATATATATGTATGTATATATGTATATATATTCGTATATAAATGCGTTTCACATATCTTTTATACACGATGGATGTAAGCCGGCGTAATTGACGAGTCTTCTTTATTTTCAGACTTTCTCGAGCAATTCGTTTTCTTCAACCACAGCACCCCACCCTGATCTACGATTCTTCGCGACGATTCTCTGGCCGAAAGGAATTCCCGACGAGACGGTTTCTCCCTTTCTCCGCTCTTGGGCCACCTCTCTTCTCTCTTCTGCACAAGCCTCTCCTCTCCTACTCTACACCTCGTGCACACGATCTTGGATGGACACGCGCGCACTCCTGTGTGTTATACCAGCGTGCATTATATACACATGGCGTGGATGATTCCTCCACGGCGTGGATCAAACGACTCACTTGGCTCGCTCACTTTCCTCGTCACGATGAAAGTGTGCTATTACTGATCAGGAACGCGCACTCTCCCCGTTCGTTTCACGTACGCGGCGGTACCTCGCGCATGTCAACTCCTGCCTCGCTGATATATTGCTCGATGAGAGCAATTGTTGTGATATTCCACTTCTGTTTAAATTTGTTTTCCATACTGGCTCGGTTTCGTTTCTCGCTCCCTTTAATTTAGACTTCAGTTGTATTTACGTGCAGGCTGTCTACCTATGTATATTATATATATTTGTATCATATAGTATTATATTTTAGTATATTTTTATTATATAATATATCTTATTTATTTATGGGAATAGTGTATATGTTAGTTACTCATTAGTTGTAATATTTCATAGAAGAAGAAAGTGTTAATTTTGTTTATAATATATAGTATATTTATATATAGTATATTTTATTTATTTATGGGAATAGTGTATGTTAGTTACTCGTTAATTCTAATATTTCATAGGAAAAGAAAGTCGTGTTAATTTTGTTTATAAACATTCGCAGTCTAGCGATTGATCGCTAAAAATTTCGAGCAGATAAGATTGACTTTATTTTGGAATGACTACTGATATTGAATTAGCTTTTTTTTTTTACGTGGAGAAAATCTTCATAAGACACTTGAGTTCTTTAAAGGGAAGACCCCAGGTTAGTGTCGGATTCTTACCAACTAAAACACCTCCACGATGGCCGTGTCCTCCGCACGTTGGAAGAACTCCGGGATCTTTTTATACACCGTGCTGTTGTCCTAAAGGACAATGTCTTTTTTTTTTTCGCCCGAACGGGGGGCCTCGAACTCTGGTACCCTCAGATTAAGAGTCTGATGATTTACCGACTGAGCTATCCCAACTACGATATTGAATTAGCTTAAATCAATTTTTATTGAACATTACGTCTAAATTAGATGTAATATTTCTTATTGCCAGTAATAGTGCATTACTTGTTATATTTTAATTTGTAGAGTTATATATTACTTGACGTTCCGAAGAAAATTAATATAGAATAACATTTATATTAAAATTAAAATAGACGAAAGAGAGCGGTGATAGATTAAAAAGAAAAACACTATTATATCTGATTGATCGTAATGGGATTAACGCGTGCAAGTAATCCTATTATGTAATCGAATCATTCTCCATTTCTGTATCTACATGTAGATATATAAATATTCCATGTACTGTTGTGTATGTAGAAACGGCACGAAGGTTGAACAGATCGATTCGATGATCTTAATCAACTTGCTACTCCGGTGCATACAGTATAAAATAG